AATTCCTACTATTAAGCTAAGTAGACTTCATGATAAAAAAAAAACATTTAGAATAGAAATGTTTTTACTGACTCAGATTTTGGTCGATTTGGTATTTTTTTTTAAGTCTGGTAAATGTTTCATCATCGTGTAAGGTGTAAGGTGTTTTTATATAGGTATATTCGACATATAAGTACAGTAATTTATCAAAGCTGCTACTTTTTATCCAGAAATATTTATCTAATAATCATCCACTACCTACCGTACATAATGACAAAATTACCAACAACGCTAAAAGCTAGTAACAGTAAAATTGCAATCTGCAAACAACTACCAAAATTGCCAAAGCAAAATTTCACATCCGAATATTTGCTGTTGAAATTGTATCAGGCGTTGCAATGCACCCAAAGTCATTTATTTCCATCTGCAAAATTGTCGGCCGACCAAAGTGTGGACAGCTATCAGACATACATTCTGGCCAGGTCCCTGTGGACCAGGTAAATAAGTCTGCCACTAAGTGAGCCCACACAATAGCGGTGGCTAATTTATTAGGCAGCGCGGGATGACAGTGGGGCCAGGACAAAAGCGGTAAGGTGCAAAGGATATTATGGTAAGGAGTTAAGATTTAGTCAAGTGTGAAAATAAGAGATGGGAAAAAGAGCTTATGAGCAGGTAAATAAGTTAGTGCTTTAGTTGGATATACTGGAATTGTCTCTAACATGCAGAATAAAGTACGTTTACCAAGTCCCAAATAGGTGCTAACTTCGGCCCCAATGCAGGTTTGTTTTATTATTTAGTGAGATTATAAGAAGAAAACTCCAAATATAACTTAATTCTCCCCATTGCTTATTAACTTTATTAGAAGTTGTTTTTTTTACATTGTTTCTTCATGCAAAATTACTTTGTGATCCAAAGACGCTTTCTTTTCTAACAACAACACATTTTTCAAAACAAAATTGACTCTAACTCCTAAAATCCGTTTATTTCTTTTTTATAATGACATCACAACATCAAGTTTCTCATCTCAGTTTTTAAAATCACTAATCCACTTCACTCGGCACCAAACAACTTCGTTGGGAGTTTATTCGGGGGCAAACATTTTGCGGGCTCACACTAACGCGATTAATCTAACGTGTCGTGGCCCCGCCCGGCGGGTAGTTGGTGAAATTTACACCCGCCCTGCCGCTCTTAAGGCTCGCGTATTTTTAACGCAATAAGGTAACGTGGTTAGATATTGGAGATTCTGTTTTGATTAGAAAATTAAGAATTTTATAGTGAACTAGCTTTCCGCCCGCGGCTTCGCCCGCGTGGAATTTTGTCTGTCACAGAAAAACTTGATAAAGTTTTTCTGTGACAGACGCGCGATAGCGCGCGTCCCTGTTTCAAAAACCGGGATAAAAACTATCCTATGTTCTTTCCCGGGACTCAAACTATCTCTATGCCAAAGGACAATGTTCGTTCTCCATACATTGTTCGCCTAAAAAACCAACAATTTTGACATATTACTACCCGAAAGCGAAATAATACGATTCTGTGTGTAAGAACAATGATTCCTGATGGACACTTGCCATAAAATTAATGATTAAGAATATTAAATCACAGCGATTTTATAATATGTCGTTTATGACAACATGGCGTCTAATGTATTGTGTGAATGTATGAACACCGATTCGCGAAAAATGTTTTGTATTGTCGTCACGCCGAGTCNAAGCTCGAGGAACTCGGAGCGCAGCGCATGCGAGCGGGCGGGCGAGGCGGAGCGCACGTCCGTACCGTGCGAGCGATGCGAAGCGAATGACCCTGTGCATCCACGCGCACTGTGAGACCTTATAGTAACGTTTGTGAATACGGGCATCTTATGTAGTTTTATTTTACATAAAACGTTAAATACCTAATATGAGTACCTATCGCCTTCGTTCATAACAAAAACACTGCTTAGAGGCAATGATATAGGTACATACAATTATTAATAAGATTTATGGATATTTATCGATCGTTAGTTGTATTGTTCGTCATGTTTAAAAGCAGTCACTAGTGTAATGCCATGAATTAAGTTTAATCAAAGTTAACAGTAGGTTCAATTAAGTCACTGACTTCTACAATAAAATATCGTTTACTGGGTAGACTCTGACTGATTGCCTCAACAACGCACACAGGACTATGGAATGCAAGTCATGCTTTTGGTCGTTATATTCTGATTTCAGGATAATATTACTTTGGGAAACCACACTAGCGAAACAAAATAGTCCAAACTAAAAAACATCAGATACTTCTTAGCAAAAAAAACTAGATCATTAGGTCCCATTGAGTCATCTATTGTAAGGCACATATTTTCGGAAGTCCCTTTCACGAGACTGAAATTTATCATTCTATCGCATTAGACCACACTCTATCAGTATCACAAAAAGATAACGGAGGAAAAATTGATGGTCCTGATCCCAATAGCGATTGGAGGGGAAGGCGTACGGGTTGACAAGTATCTTGGAGTATCTATGAAATGAAAAGCCGCTTGACTGATGATATCAGTCTTATCCTGATGGGCAAGGACATTTTTCGAAGGGCACGATTTTAAATAAACTCTTCCTTGATGGGCTACCTCCTCCTGTAAATATGTACGTTGTTTATGTATAGACGATATCATATCAAGGTTAACATTGTGGCATTTTCAGCAGTTGTAATGGGGGCGAGTTCGCCACTATTTCATGGAGCGATCCACATATTTAGTGACTAAAGATTTATGAAAATATGCACAGTTTTCCATCACCCAAGTGTTTCTACCTCGAACCGTTTTCGAGAAATCAAGTTTTTCTATTTACTAAAAAAATTGGCTTACACTATATAGGTAGGTAAGTTCGATAAACATCCATTATTGTTGCACATATTTAAGCAAGACACCAACCAGTTCCTTTACCTTAGTAAAAAATATGTAAAAAAGATGTTTATGCCAGATTCTATGAAAACTATATTCACTCTCAAAAACAATATGTGTATTCATACCATTAAGTAACGCTAAACACACGTGACAATAGCTCCACAGAGTAAATGCATTTTATTTGCGTTCCATTATTTAAAATCGAATAACGAACACAAGAATAGCGTCCGGAATCGAGCGTTCCCGACGTGAATTAACCCGATTTCGCGCTCAGTTGCCGGGAAGCGGCACAGATGCATATTGACAAGTAAATCTATTAGACTATGCAACGGTGAACTGCACTATATTGAATATATTTTAAGTAAAAAGTGAATATAGTGGCAATATAAAAGAGCATTTCGAAGTTGTCAAGAAATGAAACTGCTGCTGAAGGTACTGCGAAGAAAAATTCTAAACAATTTTTGTTATCATAAAAATAACCCAGAAGAAAAATACATTTGTATTTAATTGCTTTAAAACTTTTGCTTACAATTTTAACACTGAAAATCGATTGAAAAGTACCAATCATTTTTTTAAGCCACATAGTTTTTGACAAGATCACTTACTTACACGTGACAAAATAAAACCTCATCGTGAAGTATCTTATTTTTTTTACCGAACTGAGACAGTCCGGGAAAACAGTTTTCTTTGATACATAAAGGCCGTTGTTCACCAAACATCGTTGTGTATTTGAAGACTTATTGTTGGATACTATAACGAAAAAAGTACCTTGTAAATTGGGGAGTAATGAAAAGGAATGTGTAAAAAACATTCAGCTTTCATCTTAGGGAAAATTAATATTCATAATATTGATAGGGACTTAAATCTGAGTTAATAATCTTGATATTATGTTTAATAATCTTGCCAGTTACCATCCTGTTGTTAGTTGCCGAACCACCCACGTTCGTTAATCTTTTGGTTAAAGCGGCATGCATCAATAAAATTGCTTTCTGCCTATTTTATGAGGTCTTCCGTCCATCCAATAACATTCTGCCAATCGGTGAAAAATCTGTTTTCCTTGCTGGCCTTTTACTGCCACTTTAGGTCACTTTGCTGATGAGGTTTCTCATTGAACTTTGTTTTTCTAGCACTTTATTTCATTTTTCGACCATAACTGCAGAGTTGAACTACGTATAACTCCCACGCTAGCAACTCTGCCCTTTATGAAAGGCCACAACTGAGTGACATTAATTGTACCCACTACAACCGCTTGCATGCAGGGTCTTGCAATTTGATTCAAGTAAGTTTAACTGAAAGTTGTCATGGATAATTGAATGATCAAACGAACTTACCAAGTGAAGTTCGATCTAAATTATCCTGTTTTCGCCGAAGAGATTTATTTTACCATGTAGTACCCCTGTACGACAACCCAATCCGCACACAATATTCAGCGTAGTAGTATTAAAAAACAAAAGAGCGGGCAACCCCACCCCTACCACGCTGTGGGCTCGGTGTCCGAGCGGTCTCATTATATTTAGAGAAGAGATGACATTGACGTTTACCTCCAGGGAAGAAGNAAAGGCGCCTAACTCTAGTCCCCCTGCCCCTAAGGCACCGGCCCACAAAGTCCCGGCCCCTCAGGCCAAGCCCCAGCCTACACATTCACCTGCGGCTGACATTAAATTGGTCAGAGACTTCTTTGGCCAAATTAATGTCGGCGAGATGTTTGTGATCGCCGCAAAACTGCGCGCGACTAATGGCGAAGGCAACATCATGGAAAGGTTATCTATCCTCGCCGAACACGTAGACTTTTGCTACGCTATCTCTTCTTTCCACGCTCCGTAATGGCTAATCCCACCGCTAGGATCAAACCCCGGTCAATCCTATTAACTATTCTGTAACCACCTATTTATGGCAAATAAATTATTAGTATTATTCCTCTTTATAATATTAGTAGGTATACATACATAACTTGCTGTTCCAAAATATTCGTCATTCGTTTTCGTTTCATCGCTAAAAATAACTTAATTTTATTTTTCATTACGTCTGAAATATAATTTGTATACGTCTGAAATATAATTTGTAGTAAAAATAGACTGTAATGAAAAATATCAATAAAATATTTTAATTACCACGTGATCGCAAAAACTACCACCAAGATTTTTCGGANGGCGTTTAACTACGCTTGTTCGTTATCACCGTTAGGTATCCCAAGCGCAGCCGCGGGCAAGCCACGTAATTGTGACAAAACACCACAGAAACAAGACTCGCAGAGCGAGGGCGATAAGCTCGAGGAACTCGGAGCGCAGCGCATGCGAGCGGGCGGGCGAGGCGGAGCGCACGTCCGTACCGTGCGAGCGATGCGAAGCGAAAAACTAATCGATGTCGGCTTGCGTATTGTAATTTATACTGATATTCACATCAATATTTTGACAAAGTGGTTACTAATATTTAAACAATAACTGTAGAAATCAATTCTACAATGAATATTCTTTATTTTGGGATACTTTTATTGCAGTTATTGCTGTGTTTTTAAATAAAAAACCACGATCAAAATGTGACGTTAATCTTCAAATTTGCCAAATTATTTTTAGATTTTACTCAATAATGGTAATGAAATTCAAGAATCTATTTCATTAATGGACTACAAGAATATATGTCCGATGATTACTATATATTTTTAAGCTTATTATATGAGCATAAATAATAGATACAGGACTTTGAAAATGAGTCTGCGGCAATTTTTCCGTAAAATGGTTGTGGGAGATGGGGCACTGTGAATTAAGCAAAANTTCGTTATCACCGTTAGGTATCCCAAGCGCAGCCGCGGGCAAGCCACGTAATTGTGACAAAACACCACAGAAACAAGACTCGCAGAGCGAGGGCGATAAGCTCGAGGAACTCGGAGCGCAGCGCATGCGAGCGGGCGGGCGAGGCGGAGCGCACGTCCGTACCGTGCGAGCGATGCGAAGCGAATCGGTTGCGGCAGCGTATTTATGTGTAGGCGCGGGGACCCCGCGCTCCCCCGCCGATGCGCCCTCTGTTGTCATCACTAAACACTGATATAGACAATGACAACAATATGGGATCATCTTTAATATATCTGTCGGCTGCAAATTATTATTGATGATTAATAGTACCAATCTTAATATTATGTTATCTGTAAATCTGTAGAGCGGAAGGTTTGTGATTCCTAAACGTAACACCCGACTGATGCGCAGAAAAAAGTAACTGTCAATCAGTTGTGTCATGTCAAGTGTGAGCAGGCGGCTGCGAGGTTATAGTTCCAAAATACTGGACTGTCCTATCGATGACATTGACAGTGGGGCGCCACCGTCAATACCGGATCGCTGGTTCCGATTTTTGTCATGTTGGAAACCATATAGTTGAACGATGGTAGCGCCCCCCTGTCATTGAGTTTGGTGGGACAGTTCAGCGTGGGTGGGTCATCTATATCTTATAAGCGTGTTGAGTTTGGTGGAACGTTAAATTGTAGGAAAAGTGATTGTCAACCATCCAAGATATTATCTCCTTGCCCGTTAACCNCTGACTTCTAGGCCGGCTCGCACGCCTTTTATAGCCAGCCGGTGAGCGCGTGTGACGCACGCGGCGGCGTGCAGGGTCTCGGGGCAGGGTAAACCGGCTGCGCGCGCGCGTAGATCTCGCTGTGACGTAGTGGCCGGCTCGGCGCTGGTCGCTCGAAGTAAATAAAAGGGCACGCCGTGTTACAGTTTAAATTAAACCTTATCACGAGACCAGAATAAAGCGTAGAAAGCGGAAATAATTCGCTGTTGTTTGTTTTGGACGAAATTGATGTAGCAATCGCTGGTCGTCGCTGCTGTTCATAAGGATGACCGAAACTGAAACTGCTGATGTGTTTTGGCACTCAAAACCTAAAGGTAGGATTACTGCTATTAAATATCTGATATATTTTATAATTTATGGTTAAACAANTTCCTCGGAGCAGTGGCGAGAGCTTGGTGTTGTAGCTTGTTGAGGAGAAAACGCGGAACTGACTGGGTCCGGATGGCACCCCGATATTTATTTACTTTCATTAGAGCGAGAAAACCTAGTTGCCTCTCGCTCTAATGAAACAGCAAATCTATTGCCCTCTCTTTCTAATTTAGACCCCCCTTGGGCGGCAATACCGTATAGAGAGCCTGTTTTTTATCTATTCGTTGACCTATTTTTTAACTATGACCTTGACCTAATTCTTATCGGATTCTAATTAGCTCTTCCACTATTCTTCGGAATCTATGTTATTTATTTTCAGACAAATTACTTCTTACTATTCGATAGGAAAATAAAGGTACACAGGTACAGGGTTAATTACTAATTAAGAATTTGTACACGAAATAGGGCTCATTTGGCCACACGATTTTACATTAATTGCCTTTATGGCTAATTAAGATTATCACCAATTAAAAGTAAATAACTATAAGGATCTACACATAATTATCTATCTAATATACATACTATAAATACGACTCGACATACATAACTATGCGAAATTACAGGTTTAATCGATATACATAAAACAAAGGGCTATCAAATTATACATTTCCAACGTCCCACATACGCCTATTAATCAGTAATTAAGGACTCGACACATTACTAATTGAGAACCAACTAAGAGAAAGTGGACTGTATTACGAAGTTATCGACATTTAAACTATACAAACTTTATAAAACGAAATAAAAATGAAACAACTATGAAACAAAAACGAAACAATTATTTACAGCTATTTTACGTTTTCTATTCGGAGGCCGTCCGTCGTGCACACTAGTAGGTATTAAAAAATAAAATAAATACGATACAGTTTCTTTAAAGTGAATCCAGATAGCGTTAAAAGTACAAATCAAATCAAATCAAAATCAAATCAAATCACTTTATTTGTAAAAATGTGGGTAAAAATGATGACAATTAATATGGAAAAAAGTACAAACACATTTACCATTACTGGCATACAAATATTTTATGGTATCGAATTNCCGTTAGGTATCCCAAGCGCAGCCGCGGGCAAGCCACGTAATTGTGACAAAACACCACAGAAACAAGACTCGCAGAGCGAGGGCGATAAGCTCGAGGAACTCGGAGCGCAGCGCATGCGAGCGGGCGGGCGAGGCGGAGCGCACGTCCGTACCGTGCGAGCGATGCGAAGCGAATTGTTTTATACAATCTTGGTTTGTCTATATACAGGGTGTTAGGTAAATGGGTATATGAGCCGACACTAGCCCATGTTAACATGGGCATATAAATGGTATGGTGAAGTCAGAAATTTGATATCATCATTTTAATTTTTTTAATTTTCATACAAAATAAATTTTATGAAATACGATTTGTATGAAAAATAAAATAATTAAAATGAAGATATCAATTTTCTGACTTCACCATACCATTTATATGAACATGTTAACATGGGCTAGTGTCGGCTCATATACCCATTTACCTAACAACCTGTATATTATTTTATAGACCAAGTAAATTTGACATCGAAATTGACATTAAAATCTAATAACATTGACATGAAAACTAAATCAAACATCAACTCTATTTTTATGATTCCAACTTGTGATCTAGAGGTGCGCAGCGTTATCTGTTCCCTGAAAAACACTAACAGCGTGGGCTACGATGAGTTAGATACAGCGGCAATCAAATGTTGTGCTGATTATCTGGCTCCACCATTATCANAAAGTAGAAAAATAATTACTAATTAGGTACCTACTTATTTATTAGGACGAATTATTAATATTTATGTAGGTATACCATGATTGATACTTTTGGAGTCGGTGCAGGCAAACTTTACATGTTTCATAATCTTGGCACCGACTCCAGAAGTATCAATCATGGTACACCTACATAAATATTAATAATTCGTCCTAATAAATAAGTAGGTAATTAGTAATTATTTTTCTACTTTTTTAGTGTAGGTTTTTTGGAGTCGGTTTTTTTGCTAGGAAAACTGTATTCACAAACTGTTGGTCTGGCGCTTAATTAAGTCAGTGGCTCAGGTGTGGAAGCGGCACGGGAGGGGTGACATTGACATTTATGACGTGACAAAGGATACAAATCTGAATGAAATCTGAAATCTCGCTGACGTTTGACGTTTCAAAAACACCCTCCCGTGCCGTTCCTATACCTCAGACAAGAGATGTTATGGATATGTAGTTTCGGTTACGGTTACGCATATTTTTTTATTTCGGATATCCGAAAGTGTCGGTTAAGGTTACGGATATCTGTGCTTTAGAATGCAATTTGCAATAGGTAGTTGTACAACACGGTTCATTCATGGCCGCACACGCTACATCGAATAAAAAGTAATAAAAAAATAAAAATTTATACTAAATGGCATTATAAAGGTAAATCAGACTGTTATGCCTTTACATATATATAATGCTATACAAAAAATAATTTAAACTGCCTACATCCGAAACTATCCGAAACTTTTGAATCGGTTACGGTTACGGATATTTTTTTATTTCGGATATCCGAAAGTTTCAGTTACGGTTACGGATATCCATAACATCCCTGCCTCAGACACTGACTCAGATAAGCGCTATTATAATCTACAGCTCAAAGTTGACACATCTTATTCAGTTGTATTAGATGCCAATATGCAACAAATATGGTATAGATCTGACATAGTGATGGCTGTACACGCTACTTATTGTTACGAGTAGATAAAGCCCGGTCCCCGATCACGTAGAATTTCGTCCAATGACCCCAAGCTACCCATCCTTATCGCTCGCGCGTAATTATGTTGCGGGCGCCGTCGCACAGTCGCGACAGCAATATAATTAGGCGCAAACGACAAGGATGGATAGCTTGGGGTCATTGGACGAAATTCTACGTGCTCGGCGACCGGACTATAGACCAAGTCAAGTTTTCTAAATCCGTTCAGTTTTGAAATGTACTGTTACTACATAAGTTTGATCTTCGATAAAAATGTAATATTAAACATTCATTACATTATCTGGGTTCTAAAATAAACTAATTAAATCACTGCATAATTGATATTGTTGCAAAAAAATACCACTCAAAAACAACATTCCAGTGTTTCTTAATCTACAGTAAAAACAAAAACATTAGGCCTTCCCCGACTTAAGAAAACATGCATAATTGATTCATTTGCATCGATATCGCAGGAAGCGAGTGAATGCATCGAATGAGTTTTCATAAATGGTAACATCTGAACCACAGTGTAAACACATTCAGTGGTTTTACTGCTATTGAATCAAAAATTCATCATCCCAATAATGTACTGGCTAATTAAAAAGAGATAGGAACTGTCTTTATGTCCATAAGTAGATTAATAATAAGTTACCTCTCTTCAATTAAAAGATGAACAACAGTAAATAAGGTAAAGCAGATTGGTAGAGTGTTGTAACAGCAGCAATAGCTTTTTTTATCTAGTCACTACCACTTGAGGTCGTCAGTTTATCAAACACGTTTTCGTGAGCTCAATGTAAAAAATAATCTTTAATAGTTAAAACATTATAGGAAATGGAATGTTACAGGAAAGCATGCAGTGAAAGGATTTAGGTGACATGGCATCGATGGCAAGTCAAGCTACACTGCGGTGTCTTTTATAGTTGTAACAGAACCGATTTTTCAATTAAAATATATTTCTGTTGTGCTGTCTTCGCCTACTGTGCCCACCTGCACTGTGGCTCGTGCATAACAAGCGCATAATTAGCTCAAAGGATGACATACGCGCGATAAGATAATTACGACAACCGGGCTTGCTTGTAAACACTTTTTGAGAAGGCCATTTTTTTAAAGAATATTAGTAGGGAATTTCAATTTGTATTGCACAAATTACTAATCGTCCCATTGACTCGTACTCTATGGCTGAGTTGCACCACCTAACTTTGACCGTAACTATAGCGATAACCGGTGCTTTTTGTATGGAGTTTGACAGATTTTTTTACGTTTGTTAAAGTTAAAGTAAGATGGTGCAACCCACCCTAAATTGAG